ATCGTTAGTTGAGTGATATCCGGCCTCTATATTTCAATTGATGACAGTACATCAGGAGAGATGAGATGAGTTGCTTTATTTGGTGAATCCTGCAATTGCAATACTTTGTTATCTGGTACTGTAAGCTCTTGCTTATGGTACGTATAAGCCTGTGATGCGTATACGGTGATACCTATCCTTGGTTTAGTGATATTCGGTCTCCATAGTTCCTCTGATGACAGTGAATTAAGATAGAGTGTCAGAAATCCTTCACAATGCTACAAGATAATTGTACGAGAACGCCCTTCTCGATGTTCCAAAGGGATTAAACTTTGGTCCTTCGGACATTAGCCCAATCGGCTATATTTTGAATTTTCACTTCTATCTCTAGTAGAGGGTCAGGAACTTTTGACATACGTATATAATGACATACGTATTTATATACAAATAAACTTTGACATACGTATATACTGACATACGTATTTGTATACAAATATATTCGCTGCACACCGGCCACTGTGTTCCCAATGAACGAGTACTGGTGGTGGTGTAATGGGTGTTCGTTGGAATAGTCTGCAAAGCTTTCGTAGCCATCTTCTTCAGGCCATTGAACTAGAAAGTGAGAGATACAATGGGCCCTTCGAGTATATCTCTATAAAATAATTCACTCTGGAAGAGTGGGCATACCCATTCTATTTTTAACCTACAAGACCTTAGCGGTAGAGACGGGTATGCGAACAGTTAGAATCTGATCGAACGTCCGAAAGTCATGGATATAAAATGAATATTGAAAAACCGTAGTATGAACATGGTGTAGATGAGTACAGCGATATTTGCCTGTGGTGTATTTGGTGCCAAGGCTGATAACCCACTATCCAGGCGTATAAGGGCAACCAGGTCCATATTTTCTGTCATCGGTTGAAGCAAGTATGCACCCCTCATCCTCAATCTATGTATATCACTACGCCAGGCTAGCAACTGTAGACTGTTCATATGTCTATGACTATCTCAGCGTTGAATACTGATAATAGGTATATCTATCAAGTGATAGAGTCGGCGTTTTTGTTGTATATGGTCGGGTCTGTGTATAGGTACGCAGTTCAACAACGCCATGCCGACCCTCTGTTTAATTAAACTGTATCCTCACCGATAGTTATTTTATTGACATTGTATCTTGACCGATAATTCCGACTGCATAAGTCCAGATTCGTTATAAAAGGCCTTTGTGCATCGCACCCGCACGGTGTGTCGGCCGCTTGTCTGCTCAATTGGGATGTGTATTGGGATCGCTGTGTCCGGTTGCATAGAAACGTCAATACCTTATCGCACCCGGTCTTTATATGCGGGTGTCTGTACTTGCCAAAACACATTCTCGCCACTGTGCTTTTGTTGTTATTCACGGCTCATGCAACATCGAATCGACTGGAGTGTGTCACTCGAACTTTGCAAAAGTTCGGTACGTTCAGCCGATGTCGTAGTATCAGATTGACTCGTAAGTACTAAGTGTTTACTAATCCATACCGACAGCTGGTAGCTAGACCCACATACCTCTTTCTGCTTCACAATAGTATTGTGTTCTTACCACACAGTCGGATAGGCTCAAAACGGTGGCGGCAATTGAGAAGGCGATGAAGGAGATCCACAATGGAGAGACCCGAGGCGACAGTGATCACGGTAGGTAGTGCTATACTTGGTATCCTTGACGTACAGTATATATCTATTAGAGAAGTGGTTAGCGTAAGTAGGTAGTGCTATATTTGGTATCCCTGACGTACAGTGAATATCTATTAGAGAAGTGGTTAGTGTAGGTAGGTAGTGCTATACTTGGTATTCCTGACGTACAGTAAATGTCTACTAGAGAAAAGGTTAGCGTTGGTAGGTAGTGCTATACTTGGTATCCCTGACGTACAGT